CTTCCAGTCGACCGGTCGTCCCTCAATTCCGAATCATATTCACCGAATAGTAGTATCAAATCGTACATCATAAAGAATGAGTGAAATTCTAAAAAAAAGCGGGCGCTCCACTAACCATCTTTTTTGAATTCTATATCCCTAGGAATTTACCCTGCCGTAATGGACCCAGCCGTCCGTAAATAATTATGAAAAAGATCACTGATAGCAAGATTCATATACATATTTGCTAGCGCAATAGTCCCACAAATTTCGTAAAACTTATTAATATCTTGCTTCTCCATTTCAACGAGCGTGACGAGCTTTTGTGACGCAAATTCATAGTACACGTCACAAGACTGATATGCGAAGCGAGCATCGTAACGGGTACGCACGCATACGTAACGCTGATCCCGCGTTCAATCCTAGGAACAACTCCTCCGATACTCAACCCGCAATGCTGTCGATGGCTGTACGCATCGATGAGCCCGGAACTATTAACCATGCACACCGCTGTGATGAGGATCCCTATGCCTTGAAATCACTTCTCCGGAGGACAGAGGAGCCAGTCTGGACTCACTGCAACACAATACCCGAGCGCTGGATAGCTGTTATATGCGTATCAAGCCATCCTAGTGGTTTATCACTTTATGGAATTCTTTATATTAGGGGCTAATCAAGACCAAATCCGCTGACTATACATTGAGAAGTGAAGAGGATAGCACTCCTTTCTTGAGGAAGTCCAAGGTCAGTACTGACGAACATCACGAAGATTTTATTGATGCACTCTTGCTATTAGCCCTTCAAAAGGCCCCCCGAAAACAGGAGAACGTGTAGACCCTCAAAACCAGATGGTGCGCTAGCATTCCATCAGCATAAAGTAAGCAAAAGACGCAAAAAAATCTCCATAAACCCGGCTTCATTTTTTGCAGCCGCTTTTCACACGGCGCCGCAGTTCGTCGTCTTGCAGAATATTTGAGATAGTACATAGGGTTATCTATGAAAGACGGTTTTCGTTCCGTTCGAAATGCAGGCTTGCAGATGATCTCAAAAATATATCAGAGCTCTGTAAGGAAGCTGTGTGCTGGAATGAGCTCTCCCTGGTCGACGTAACGTTTTTCCGCTGTTACCATTCTTGTGCTTTTCCTTACCCACTATAAAGCCAAACCGACTGTAGAAAGAGCGTCTTTGCACTCAATAATGAAACAGCAGATTTAATCAGTCCTCGACGGAAGAAAAGAAGAGGTCTCGTCTGCTAAGACCTGAAGAGGCTCTCCTTTTTCCATTCTGACCTGCACGGATTACAGCAGAGAAACACTGCCTGAAGGAGCCAGAGCATACGACGATGCATCGGGAAGCATATGGAAGAGTGCAGATACAGGGCGCCTTGCCGTGGATGCCACTTTCCAGGATGCATGGCGACTATAGGTTCCGCAGCCCAAACACCACATCTGGTTGGTGCCTCAGATCGCCTCTCACTTTATGGTCGTCAAACTGAGAGCCCTTTTCTGTTGTGACCTCAGTCCTTCCCTCATCGAAGAGTCCATTTTTTCGCATTCGGGCCTAATCACGGAATGGTAGCTCTCAGGGTGAACGCTTCATGAAGCTCGAGCGTGGACTAAAAAGTTAAGCTAAACAGCCACCAGAATTTCAGTACCCCGATGTCACTTGCCCTTACGAACTGGACAAGAAGTCGATATCGGACCAGATCCTCTTTCGTCCCACGGCTTAGGTGAAAATAGGGGTATAACATCCCGCCCTGCCCTTTCGCCCATTAGGAGTCATTCACTGCCGCGCTGAGACTATGACACTTCCTTTTCGGTGCCGCGCTAGTCCAAGGCTCGACAATCCAAGGTGGCCGTAAGGTATGCCTCCCCGAAGGGTTTGCGGACGAATATCCCTTTAAATTTTCTCTGCCTTCTCAACTGGGATTGTGTTATGTGTGTAGCTTGAAGTGAACATGCACTCAAATGATGAAACAGTATCGATCAAAAAAATTCAAAGGGATCTCTGTTTCCACACCCCCTCCACCATGCCATTCTGGAATAACCTGAGGAGTCTCTGACTACCCTCGCCTGTCATCCTTAATATTAGGGTCGTTCAAATGCCCCCTGCAACATGTGCACATTCATTATCTATGTCAGCCCTGGCCCACATGTCTGAACCACCAAGTGCTCAAAAAGTGCACTAACATTACTTTATATTCGCACCAAAGGAACAGTGAATCTCCTCTATTCAGATCTTCAATGAATTCATAAAAAATTGCAGCCCAGCCAACACGCAGTAGTCAACAGCTCCAACACGATCATCTTATTGCCTTATTCTGCATGAGCTACCATATCACTCCTTGAATCTTGGTAATAGTGGATGGCCCTCGCTCCATAGTATCAAGCTAGCCCTTGCATTGAGAGTCGAGGCAAACATGACACATCATAAAAATAAACGATATCTCCATGTTACGGAACCGCTTGCCAGGTCCCTCTGATGAAGAGCAAAAATGTTCTAGCTACTCCGCACCTCATGAACTTCTATCTACTTTAATTATGCCCGGAGTATTGTGAGAAAAAGTTTCCCATTATCCCAGTGGCGCAATTGGTGTACAGAAATGCGCGACACTAACCGCAAACGACGCGAGAAATCGGAAACTATTTACTGGCCTTCATTCCCCAATTCCATGCTTTACATTCGTCCACTCATCTCACCTCAGCATCTTCCTTTGATTGAACTACAAGTGTGGCTAAATGTGGATCATATCACTTAGTCCGGTCTCAGAATCACTTCCTGGGGAAGTTTTCATACTGTGCCGCAGTTCGTTATGCGTCACTCGGGAAAGTTTGCAAAAAGTGACCATGGCGTTGTTGTAAATTATCTCCCGAGAGCGATAATCTCCCTGGTCTATTGAGTGTTTAAGGACCATCACTTCTAAATGCATAAAAGGCATAAAGCATTTCCGTTGACCAGTCCCAATAGGATGATCACCCTATTTTTTGTTAAATCATCCTTACTAAGTTTTTACCACAATATGAAACGTAATCGGTTGTTATACATCATTTACATTCACACATTACGAGGACTCACGTAGGGCAGCGCTCACAGTTGGCGATCGTGCATTCATTTAGGCGATTGGGCGATTAGTATATAAGGGAAGGTATACCTATCGATTTTAGACGATTAGGCGATCGCTCTATCGTCAATCCTTTTCCTTGTTGATCTACTGACCTACCCTCGATTCCGACACTACAATCACCCACGCGTGGTCGCCTAAACTCGCCTAATCTGTCCACTGAGCAAGCACTCATAGTAACAGATCCCGCTTTACGTCGGCTAGCCATATACTGAGAGAGAGACTGTAGGTTCTGTTCGTACCTTACTCAAAATACGTAAATACCTCAGCTCAAGCACGCCGAGCGAATAGGGCGCTTATATAGCTTTTCGTTTAAGTTCCTTGCTTTTTGAGCACGGCGACAATTTCCTCGTGAACTCAGTCCATACTTAACAGAAAATTCTGATATTCCACGGAATCGCCAGTCCCTACCAAAGAAACGGAGGCTCTATATACGTCACTACGAGTTAGTTTGTACCCAATGAAAAATTTAGAATACCATATCCATTGTTCCCTGTAACTATTATTATTGCCATCTCCTATGCTTTCTTACTTTTAATTCTCCCATTTCTCTATTTCTCTGGATTTCTCAAATGGGCAGTCATCGCAGTTCGAAAATAAGTTAACTGGATACCGATGAGGAATGATTGGACATGGAAAGGCATGTTAACTTCCAGCCCAATCGGCTTTTTTTGAAAATGAGACCGCTCACAATTTTCGCAACCGAGTTCGCGCTCAACTTGAGTATCGTAACAAGCTACGAAAGGATTTAAGTACGAATCAATTCGGCTGGTTTCACTAAAACGTGGAAATCGACTAGTTGCGAAAGGGGCTAAATTCATATCGATTGGGCGATATGATTAAAACATTTTGTGAGAATCAAATGGAATTTCTCCACGTGCCTTCATTCCTTTCAAATCCTTTTCATTTTTTTTTTGTTTTCAAGACAGTTCATCTCTCCGACAACGTATCACTTCTTCCTATTGCGAGCCCTAGGTACCAAAAGAAACGCTAATCGATCTCGAAAGCGCCTCCCCACTGTTGCTCAACATAGTAAGCAAGTTCGCAAATCGTCGCCGCCGATCTTTATTTGACAATCCACAAACGCGCTCATGGTTTCCGCGCAAGGAAATCCCGTGCAGCCGTGATTGTCTCTTCAGCCGCAGGTCCTTTTTTGTATCTGAAGTCACGCACCTAAGCTCTGACGCTGGCACTAGACTCACATTTTGGCTGTAAAAGCAAATTTTTACATCATTTCAACACATTGCGGACCGCCGTTGTACGAGCACCTTCGCATCTTTTTTATATATTTTCAAAAATGAATCATTAGTAATCTTCTAACAATTATAATCAGATGCATACCCGAGTGTTCCCCGGCCTGGGAAATGAGTGCAAACAGGTAAAACATGAACATGTCATATAATCAGGTAATCATCCTTCGTATAAATCGAGCGCAATACCCAAGGGCGTACGCGTCCGCAGTGTGTTAAACAAACATTTCTAGAGAGACCGCAAAATGGAAGGTATCTTCCTTGTCTATGCGTTACTCGCAATAGTACAGAAGTCACGTCAAAAAGTGATCTAGTATGTCAAAGACTAAACAAGATGAGTGGGTTTTACGAGAGCATTTAACTGCTCAAGGGTGCGTCGCACTTTGCGACGGCTTTGCTTTTTCACACAGCAAGTGGCTTACAAAACATCTCATCGAACAACGCTGCGAAGTTTGCAAAGTATCACCTCACCGAAGTGTTTCGCGCACAAGCGAATCTTCTATAAGTCTTTCTACTGCGAATTTCTTGTTCCAAACCTGTCATTCCCAACTCTTCTATCAGTTCCTTTCCGGATGCCGATTTCATATGTAACGATGAGTTACTTTTTAGGAAGCTTATCAGTTGATGTATAGTTTTGATGATTAAGCGCTATGGAAGATGTCCAGATGATCGATGTGTCGGAGCCACCGGTTCGGATGGCAACCCGTGGACAAAGAATAAATTATGCTGAGCTGAACAGCTCTAGCAGTATTGGATTCAGCACAGCATCTAATCAGTTCAGGTAGCTTGAATTCCTGCTCATTGAGTTTTTTCCAATCATTTCATTGCTGTAACTTGAGAAAAATTTCCTCTGAAAATTGCTGTCAGTTGGACAATGATTTTTATATTCTTATGATTTCCACTTCAGCACCCCACTCAGTGAATCGGTGGAAACCTCTGGCAATGAGAGCATCTTCCGTTCACCAACAGCTAGCACGCGTGGTCGAAAAAGAAGGCCTACTTATGATGATGCATCATCTATAACTTCCTGGAGTATTGTAAGCTAGTGATATCTGTCATGCTGTTTCCCTCTCTCACGAACCATCCAATCTTTTTTCCAGCCAAAACGAGGCCGTCCACGTGGTACAGGATTAGCTAGAGGTGCACGTGGTGGTGGTGTCCGACGTTCACTTTTGGGAGATCAGCAAGCCCAATCCATATCGGAAATAGATGAGACAGGATTATTTGGAGCCGTTAAAACCGGAAGGAATCTGGAGGTATGGTTCTTTTCGTTTTATCCTTGAGTGCTGATACTTTGATTATTTTGCTGGTTGTCTTTTAAAGCATATCACCTATTTTTTTCTTGTTACTCCTCTTTAGTCTCTTATTCTTATTCTGCATTGCGATGGTAGACAAAGATATTCAAGGCTCTCTTTTTTTGCTTTACGAGGTTGTTAGGTTGAATATTTATTCAGCTAACCCATTCCAAGCCCAATATTCATTCAATTTTTACTGATCAAAGATAAAGAGGCAAAAAGAAAGATTTGCTGTACGAGAGGCACGCTTTTTTCGTTCGTGCGGATTAGTCGCCTAAACTTAAGAGCGTTAGCAAGTGTCATTTCGGTTTTCGTAAATGTGAAGATAGGGAGTTTATCACTCTAAGAAATTCCTGTTGTTCTGAACATTTGCTTGTATTATTATGACCACGGTCTACCCTTGTTACAAATGGCACGCCAATGTATTTGTGGTTTTCCTGCTTCGAGCAATAATTAAATCAAGCAATAAATTATGCCGATTTCCAGCAAGCTATTGATGAATGGATTGAAGAATACGAACGCAATCCTGATGCCGCTTTGGTGAAGCTACAGCAGTTCTTCATATCTTGCTGCGGTTGCAAAGGCACAATCAATGCCCATATGCTTAGTACTATGGAATACAGGTAGGGTCACTTGAGATGGAGTACCTAGCTTAAAATCGGAGTCCATCATTCTAGCGAAATCATTCGACGCATGACTGAAGATTTTGATGAAGATTCCGGTGACTATCCGCTTATCCTTACGGGAACACAGTCGTATAATCCGCAACAACCTTCATCATGACTCTACGTACGTTTGTGTGTTTGTAAATAAATTGCGCAATTTGAGACGGAATCTATATTGTTTGTCATACATTTACTAGACATTGGATATTGAGCACTAGCGAGGCCAGAATTCTGACCATTCTCGTTGGTAGTTCTTTGCTTGCCATTGAAATTTTCTGATAAAAATGGGCGCTTTTAGTTCATCATGAGTCTTTACTTCTTGTTCAGGTTTGGATCGATAAGTGCAAATCATCACTAATTTTTGATCAAAGAATGATGGATAGTGTTATCCAGCTATTGACTGGTTTGGCAGACAGCAAGTGCAGCTTTTAGGCACACGGCCACCTTCGCAGGTTTGCCTTTTTTGCTAGTCAACATTATAGGGTAACTATGCGCTGCTGCCCGTTTTTCCATACCAAACACCTATTTATTTCATTCAGCTATGAAGATCTCTTCGGCCTTGGTGGATGTCACCTTGGAATTGGTTGCTGTGAAAGATCGTAATGCTAAGCAATTGGAAGCAGAAAAAATTCGGCTGAAGCAAAGCTCCGGTACAAATGAGAAGTTGGATGTGCTAATCCAGAAAAAGAATGAGGTGGAGTTCATCACTCATGTTACTTATGAAAACTAATCACAAAATTACAAGCGCTTTCCAACTAACCTTCCTGATTTTTTCTCTACTCCCGCATTGGCCGATGTCAGAGTCTGCGATTTTGGCACATTTCTCCCATCATGACCAATCGCTCCAATCGCGCGATGGGCGCGATCACTCCCGTTGTGGCTGGCGCGCCCCTCTCGATCGATACGTTGACTGAGCTATCGATCGAGAGGGGCGCACCAGCCACAACGGGAGTGATCGCGCCCATCGCGCGATTGGAGCGATTGGTCATGATGGGACTCATGTCAATCGCGCGATCGTCGCGCGAATCGCGCGATGGTCGCGCGATTGGCATTTGACCGATCGCTCCAATCGCAGACTCTGACATCGGCCAATGTGGTAAATGTTTTTTTTGCTTCGAGACAATAGTCCAACTGATGATTCCTCAAATTGCTGTATTAACAGTTTTCAGAACTGTCTTTGTTCATGAGATACATCCTGTTGATTTTACTGATGTCATTTCTCCTTTTCGACGAAGCCTTCCATTGGCAGTTTTGTCATAAATTTTCCGTCATCATAATGATGCTTCACTTTTTTAGGATGTTCTTCCTGATACCCGATCTATCTGCATAACTGAGCTTGGCAATTGGATGCTCGTATATCCAGATCACTTTTTGGAGGACTCATACCTCAAATATATTGGATGGAGTCTCTACGATAAGGTACTCGGATCTATTCACCACAATTTAGTCTCAATCCTCCTTCAATCAAAATTTATATGTATTGGGTTGTACAGTTAAGGCTACGCTATTAAATTATCAAACACTGGATGTTCTAAATTGCTCATAATTCAACACACAGGTGCCTGATGTGAGATTGAAGTGCATTTCTGCTCTGCTGCCGCTCTACGATAAGCCTGACGTATTGATGAAATTGGAGTTGTTTACAAACAAGTTCAAAGATAGACTTGTATCGATGGTGCTCGACAAGGACAATGAAGTTGGAATGAAAACATGCCAACTTATGACGAGCATTTACCGGTATGTCTGGGCGTTTTTCTTGCTTTTTTCTTCATGGCGATAATTTGATTGAGCTTTTTGCCTCATTGCTGCAATGCTAATCAAATTGGTGAATGCTCTTTAACTATGTAAATGCTCACACTTAACCTGTGTAATCATCTTGTTGTTCAGTACTTTTCCCACTTTGCTCCAACTGAAAGACTGTGTCCCAATCTACGAACTTGTATATTCTAACCACCGTGGACTTGCTGTTGCAGCCGGAGAATTCCTCAATACCAAGGTGCTTTTGTCATTGTTTATAACGTTCTAGGTTTTGCCACAATGGTGATTTCAGTCTTCTCCGTCACTCTGCACAATATAACTTGTTCTCTTTTAGGTTTTTCAACATTCGCAGCGTAGTAGAGCATCTAGTGTCACGAGCTCTGGTCGAGGTGGAATGGGTGATAATGCCAAGCTTATTCAGGATCTCATTCAATTTTACATAGAGGGAGAGGTGGGCATAATTATTCGAGATTATTTATTTGCTGTACATTAAGCTTGTTTAAGTGTCACGAGCATGCTACTTATCTGGTCGATGCGTTGATCGATACGAATCCAATGATAAAAGATTGGCAAACAATGGTGGATCTTTTGTTGAGCGATGAAGGTGGGTTGTCTCCAATGAACCTTCTTCTCTCACTGTTTTTTTTTTTCTTTCAAACTTTGACTTTCCGCTTATCCTTTGTCTTTTGGGTTTTCCTTATACTAACAGGTATCTCCACGTTTTTGCATCGTTTAAATTTTTGATTGTAAGATCTTCGAAAATCTTTCAGTGGAATCAAGCGAGTCGCAGTTGATCGAAGTTTTGGTGTGCTCTGTTCGTCAAGCTGCTACGGGTGATCTACCAGTTGGTAGGTCAGTCGTCAAACGAGGAGCGCCTTCTACCAAGGAAAGCCGTACTCTTGTGGAAGATCGTACTCGGCTGTCAGAAGTTCTCATTCCTGCACTCCCAAAATTATTACAGAAGGTGAGCAGTGAAGCTCATCTACGGATCTGTGAATTGTGGCGCATTTCTGGGATACCCGATCTATCTGCATAACTGAGCTTGGCAATTGGATGCTCGTATATCCAGATCACTTTTTGGAGGACTCATACCTCAAATATATTGGATGGAGTCTCTACGATAAGGTACTCGGATCTATTCACCACAATTTAGTCTCAATCCTCCTTCAATCCAAATTTATATGTATTGGGTTGTACAGTTAAGGCTACGCTATTAAATTATCAAACACTGGATGTTCTAAATTGCTCATAATTCAACACACAGGTGCCTGATGTGAGATTGAAGTGCATTTCTGCTCTGCTGCCGCTCTACGATAAGCCTGACGTATTGATGAAATTGGAGTTGTTTACAAACAAGTTCAAAGATAGACTTGTATCGATGGTGCTCGACAAGGACAATGAAGTTGGAATGAAAACATGCCAACTTATGACGAGCATTTACCGGTATGTCTGGGCGTTTTTCTTGCTTTTTTCTTCATGGCGATAATTTGATTGAGCTTTTTTGCCTCATTGCTGCAATGCTAATCAAATTGGTGAATGCTCTTTAACTATGTAAATGCTCACGCTTAACCTGTGTAATCATCTTGTTGTTCAGTACTTTTCCCACTTTGCTCCAACTGAAAGACTGTGTCCCAATCTACGAACTTGTATATTCTAACCACCGTGGACTTGCTGTTGCAGCCGGAGAATTCCTCAATACCAAGGTGCTTTTGTCATTGTTTATAACGTTCTAGGTTTTGCAAAATGGTGAATTCAATTCGGTTCTCCGTCACTCTGCACAATATAACTTGTTCTCTTTTAGGTTTTTCAACATTCGCAGCGTAGTAGAGCATCTAGTGTCACGAGCTCTGGTCGAGGTGGAATGGGTGATAATGCCAAGCTTATTCAGGATCTCATTCAATTTTACATAGAGGGAGAGGTGGGCATAATTATTCGAGATTATTTATTTGCTGTACATTAAGCTTGTTTAAGTGTCACGAGCATGCTACTTATCTGGTCGATGCGTTGATCGATACGAATCCAATGATAAAAGATTGGCAAAACAATGGGTGGATCTTTTACTGAAGCGATGTGAAGGTGTGAGTTGCTCCAATAAACCTTTTTTCTCTCACAGTTTTTTTTTTACTTTCAATGACTTTGTGCTTATCCGAACTTGTGGCCATTTTTGCTTACTTCCTGTCTTTTGGGTTTTCCTTATACTGAACAGGTTCTCCACGTTTTTGCATCGTTACAAATTTTGTATTGTAAATCTTCGGAAATCTTTCAGTGGAATCAAGCGAGTCGCAGTTGATCGAAGTTTTGGTGTGCTCTGTTCGTCAAGCTGCTACGGGTGATCTACCAGTTGGTAGGTCAGTCGTCAAACGAGGAGCGCCTTCTACCAAGGAAAGCCGTACTCTTGTGGAAGATCGTACTCGGCTGTCAGAAGTTCTCATTCCTGCACTCCCAAAATTATTACAGAAGGTGAGTAGTGAAGCTCATCTACGGATCTGTGAATTGTGGCAGCATTTCT